GATCGCTGTGGTGGTTATACAAGATTTCCCCTATTAACGATTTCGGAATTGCAAGTAGGTGGTCCCTTCCCATCTCACGCGTGTTCTTCTTATACAGCACTCCGTCCACGATCACGAAATTTTTCGCTCGTCTTCTAGTGCCTATTGGGATGTTAATGTTATTGTTATCGCTATTCTCCGCTGCAGTTATTAAGTCCCTTAATTCATCGTCTTCTAACTGCAATTGCCGCAATACGTCCGATTCCACAAGAAAGGTTGGAATCTCTTGAGATTCAATCTCATCGGCCAGGTGTCCTTCCTCAACAGGATTTTTCGATAAGCAATCGGCGTTCTTATGTTTCGATCCGCTTCGATGAACAACCGTGTATCGGAATTCCGAAAACTTTATGGCCCACCGTGCTAGTTTCCCAGTCGGATCTTTGATTGATTTTAGCCAACGAATTGCACTATGGTCTGTGATAATTTTCACATGTCTGCCGTGTACCAGGTGTCGTAAGTAAGAAAGTGCCCAAACGCATCCTAAACATTCCAGTTCCGTAATTCCCAAATTTTTCTCGTTTTTGGTCAGACTGCGACTAACAAAAGCTATCGGATGGCATTGTCGGTCATCCCCCTCTTGCAGCAAGACTGCTCCCAGTCCCTGTTAACTAGCGTCTACTCTTAATTCGCAATCTTTGTTTGGGTCGAATCTTCGGAGAACTGGTGTTGTCCTCATTTTTTTCTTTAACTCAATAAAAGCCTGTTCTTGTTTCTCGCCTCACTGAAATTGTACTTTTTCTTTTGTTGCTTCATGCAGAGGACGGGCAATGGCTGAAAAGTTCTTTATAAGAAGGGCGGCGATGGATGTCTGGAGTGTCATTTCCATATTTTGTTTTTAAAAGTAAACTTTCCCTTCCTCTAACGTGTCGAAACACGTTTCGAAATCGGTAAAAGCTCGTGAAACTTTTTAACTTATGTTGTTCGTATTAAAAAACACGTTTTATTATGAACTGTGATCGTGTTAAAAAAACACGACCAAGTCAGTGGTGGTGGCTTCAGAAATCGGAAATTTTTTCTTTCGCTTCTCAGGAGGCTGTTGGACACGTCCGCTGGCTTCGACCGATCGACTCAGAATGCTCGTCCTATAACATATTTTTCAACTTGGTTTTAATACGCGCTTACTATTAACTGAAACTCCGCCTTTTTTAAAGAATCAACCACTCAGGTAAACGGTTTAAGCTTAAGCGAGTAAATAAATTTGAAGCCATGTGCTAAATCCACTCATCTCAACCAGGCAAAGGACATCTCGTCAAAACAGTCTGCGGCTTGGTAGTCAAGGCTGAAAAGCCGAGAAAATCGAGCAAAGCTGCCCAGTGCCACCGCTGCCAGCGATTTCATCACGCACAAAAGAACTGCACGGCATGTACGATAAACTTATTACATCGTCGAGGGCACATATAAATGGCCCTTTTCAGGGCCACATTTTTTTTCTAGACAAATTGAAAAAAGAGTTTATCTTTCGTAACCAGAACGACGTGTATGTTCATAATTTGAAATTGTTTTCATAAAAACACCTTTATTTTAAAAACGAATTTATTGTTTCTTTCTTTTTCTTAAGATAGTTTTAGAAATATTTGAAAACAAAGTTAATCATTTAATGAGTGTCATCATCAGCTTACAGTAATAAATGGCCTGCCTGCTACCTGCTACCCTTATAAAAGTATCCCAAACAATTATCTCCTCAATAGAGGCATGTGCAGAATTTTAACCTACGGTGATGGATGTATTTCTGAAAGTAGTTTTATTATGCAGAGCCCAAAAACAATAAATACGCCGCAAGTACAGTGTGCTGATTTTTATAATCCTCCACTACGGAAAACATTTTTTATTATTTTTTTTTTTTAATTTCTACAAATGTTTGAAATGCGGGGAATCCCACAGCACCCACATGTGCACCAAATCAAAGGTACTACCACCAAAATGCGCTAACTGCGGCGGCGCACATCCCGCCAACTACACAGGATGCTCAGAACATCCAGCACAAAAGAAAATAATGACCACAATCCCACAAGACATCTCTAGTAATGACAACAAACAAACTATGACAGTGAAAACACAAATAGTAAAGAAGCAGGAACCACCCACAACAACAAAAACAATCCAAGACGACAAACAGGAATACACCCAAAAAAGAAAAGAAACAGCCACACTAATTGGAGAACTTGTAATTCAATTTGCTCAAACAAATGCAACCAAAGAACAAACGATGAAGTTTAAAGAGACAACAGCACGACTCACAAAAAACCTAAATGGATAAAACAACAAAAAAGAAAAAATATCTACACATATCATACTGGAACGCAGACGGAATCAAGACAAAGAAACAAGAACTCAAGGAATTTCTAACAAACCACAAAATCGACATAATACTATTACAAGAGACCCACTTAAAACCGTCGGATAATCTAAATATCCCAAACTATAGAACATATAGAAATGACAGAACAAAAACCCCCCAAGGAGGCACTGCCATCCTCGTTAACAAGCATCTAAACCATCATGAAATAGATTACTCTAACCAGGATTCAATCACTGAGTACAACGGAATTCAGCTGAGGACAACAAAAGGGCCAATAAATATTTATTCAGTATACATTCCACCTGCAAAGCCACTCGATTTACAAGAACTAGACTTTATCAAAAACTCAACATTCCCGGTAATTGCAGCAGGCGATTACAATGCGAGAAACAAAATATGGCACAGCTCAAAAAATTGCCGAAGAGGAATTACACTAGAACACTATGCACTTACCAACAACATTAACATCGAGGGACCCACCGACCCCACACACCACTACAATACTGGAAACGATGTAATTGACCTAGTTATGACCAAGAACACGACTTTTTACATCCAACTAAACACCCTCGACGAGCTATCATCAGACCACAGCCCCGTCTCGATAATAGCAGATACCGATCATACCGAACAAATTGTCACAAAGAAATGGACAAATTGGACTGAATTTAGAAAATTCACCGAAATTGTAGCACAAAAAAACATCACAACACAGAATATTGAACAAGAAATAGAACAATTAACCAACACAATAAAATACGCATATGAAAAATCAACAATTCTAAAGCAAATAAACCCCAAAGAAACATTACCTGTAGACATCAAACAACTCTTAAAAAGGAAAAACAAGGCAAGAAAAAAATATCACCTAACCTTACATCCCGCAGACAAAAGAGAAGTAAACAAATTGACAAATGAAGTTAAACAAGCATTATATAGGCACAATAATGAGGAATGGGAGCGGAAACTTGACAAGCTCAGCGTAACCAACAACTCTCTATGGAAAATGACCAGAAATATGACCAAGAAAAAGTCAACAATACCACCAATTCAAACACAAACCAAGGTAGTAACAAATCCAATTGAAAAGGCAGAAAAATTCGCAGACTCGCTGGAACAACAATTCTCACAAAACACAACCTGGCCACAATTCTTAGACCAGGAACAAGAAATAATAGAAACACTACAACTATTGCCACAAATACAAGACACAAAACTGGAGCCAACTACCCAAGAGGAAGTTTCAAGAATAATTCAAAAATTACCCAATAAAAAAGCACCCGGACCTGATGAAATTACAAATGAAATGATCAAAAATATCCACAATACTGCTGTAGCAAAAATTACCGCAATAATTAATACCATTTTAGAAACGAATTACTTTCCCAAAAAATGGAAAAACTCAGATATCATATTAATTTACAAACAAGGGAAACCCAAAAGACAAGTCACGAGCTATAGACCAATAGCACTGCTGAACACCCTAGGAAAATTAACAGAAAGAATAATCAAAAATCGTCTGGATCAAGAAATTCACGAAAAAGCACTTCTCCCAAATGAACAATTTGGATTCAGAACACAACACGGAACAATACAACAACTGGAAAGAATTACAAACCACATTAGAAAAAATTGGAAAAAGAAGAAAAAGACAGTGGCCGTATTTCTGGATATCGAAAAGGCTTTTGATAGGGTCAGTCACTCAAGCTTAATCAACAAATTAATCAACATGGGAATTAATAAGAACCTAGTAAGAACTCTAACAAATTATTTAGCTAATAGAACCTTTCAAGTGAAGATAGAAAATCAAAAATCAACCAACAGAAAAATAAGGGCGGGAGTTCAACAAGGATCAATCCTAGGACCCACTCTTTACAGCCTCTACACAGCAGATCTCCCAACGCTACAACACTCGAAAGTTGCACTGTACGCAGATGACACGGCATTATACACAGACTCTGTGAACACCAACCTAGCAATCAAACACCTTCAACAAGATTTAGATACGCTACTTGACTGGCTAAAACGCTGGAAATTAAAAATAAACTCCGAAAAGACGGAAGCAATTATCTTTACAAAATCGCACAAAGACCCGGAAATAAGAATAAAAATCGAAAAAAAATCAAGTTAACTGGAAAAAACAAGTTAAATATCTGGGAATAACTCTAGACAAAAAACTGACATACAAACAGCAAACCATGAAAGTCAAAAATAAAACTCAACAAAATGCGAGTGAACTATATCCACTTATAAATACAAAGAGTAAACTTAACATCGAAAACAAGTTAAGGATTTACAAAATGATCATAAGACCGTCTCTAACGTACGGATTAGAGTTACTGCATGAAATAAAGAAAACAAACAGACAACACCTAGAAACAATCCAAACTAAAATACTGAGAAGAATAATAAATGCACCGAGATACGTAAGAAATAAAATAGTCTTACAAGACACTAATACAACAACCATTGAAGAAGAAACATGGAAGAAAAGAAGAAACATGCTAGAAAACTGCTTAAATCATCCCAATCCGGAAATACAACAATTAACATGTAAATAAACATTGACAGAAATTTATCTACAAATATCAAGCCAAGGAGTAAATACTTCAACTGCTTGACAAACAAAGAGATTCGAAGCCCGGTTTTCAGTTGTTCTCGACGAACTGGTAGAAGTTGTGTCGGTTTCTTTCGTAAAAACTATTATTTGTTTTAACAAAAAAAAAAAACAACCAAAATGACCGGTCGTGGTAAAGGCGGAAAAGGATTAGGAAAAGGTGGAGCGAAACGTCATCGTAAAGTCTTGCGTGATAACATCCAGGGTATCACCAAGCCTGCCATAAGAAGATTGGCACGTCGTGGCGGAGTGAAGCGTATCTCCGGTCTAATTTATGAAGAAACCAGAGGTGTCTTAAAGGTATTCCTCGAGAACGTCATTCACTTTTCAGTCGTGTCACTTTTCAGTCGTGCATCGAGAACGTGAAGATGTCTCATCGTCCCGTCTCCACCCCTGCGACTGTGCCACCGCCGCCGAAATTTGCCAAGACGCCAACAAGTAAACCCAAGAAAAAACCCGGTGAGTCCGATTCCAATATTAACCCAACCCAAACTGCCCCCGGCTCATCAAACCTTGCTTCCAAAATCAACAAAATGCTTTCCCGTTCCCGCTCTCCAATTAACAAACCCAAACCCGAAACAAAACCCAAACCCATCTCTCGTTCCCCAAGCCCCATGTCAACCGACAATGAATTCAAATACACCGTAAGAAACATCCCACAAAACATTTCAACCCAGAAATCTTTCTATTCCTTTTTAATCTCAACCATAAACCTTAAATCCATCCTAGTCCTCAAGGTCAACTTTAACAGAACCGCACTCCTAATCACATCAGCCCCCATAACCCCAAATATTACCAACCAAATCCGCACCGCTTCTGGAGATCCCCAAATCACTATCGACCCTATTAACAAAAAATCCCCTAGCCTTCCCCCAAAAGTCCCCACATTTTCAGTCGTCGTTCGCAGCGTCGAACACGACATTACCGAAGCCGACATAACCACTCAAAACCCCTCACTGAAAATTAACCGACTTTTCCGAATAATCTCCAAAAAAACAAACCGTCCCACTCCCTTAATCCGTATTATCTCCGACGACAAGCCCACCATCGACTACCTTCTCACCCAAGGCATAACAATCTTTTCCCGCATTTATGAATGCGAAGTTTCACACCCTCCTCTCCCAACTCCACTCCAATGCACCAAATGCTTCCAACTTGGCCACAACCCCAATGACTGCCCCAACAAACCCATCTGCCCCAAATGTCCCGAATCACATCACCCATCCAAATGCCAAGCCACCGAAC